TTGTTCAAAGATGCTGAAAGTGATTTCGAAGGTGGTCACGGTCACAACATTGCTTCATACTGGTCCTACTGCTCTGAAAATCTCATTATACATCTTATTTAAAAATGAAAACCCATACAAAATTTTATCTTTCAGTTATGCATTACAGAACACAATAAGATAAGTGACAACCAAATATGTATTATTCTACAAACGTATGGCCTAATGGCGGTCGGAGGATCTTAAAGGGCACTGGTATTTGTTTTCTGATAGATATCCACTCACCCAATTTGCATAGTTATATGAATTAGCCGTTAAAACCACTTTATTACAGACATTCCACTTAATATTATCGGCTCTGAAGATCTGAAAGCATAAGAGCAGTAGGCAGAGGAGCAGGATAATGCTAATGTGCTTTCAGTTTCAAAGGAGTTGCAGTCCCATATTTACGCCCTGAGGTGTATCATTTAATGCTGGGGGTAGAGCAAAGAGGGGGGAATATACGCGTGTACACACTGAGAGTACAATTATCATTTCAATGGGCTTATTGCCGCAGATCGGCGGAGTAATGAGGAGAAATACTTTCCGTAATCTTGAGGGAGGCGTACAGCAAAGAACCCAAATGGATTCTAATATAATAAGCACTTGAACAAGTACCAGAGACAGATTTCATGCTGCCCATAAATCGAAATGCCTATTTACATCATATTAATATTACTCGCGCGCTGGAAGATGAAGGAGATGCGGGTTCTGACTGGCGACACCTGCCAGTTGGACCTGTGGAAGGTGAGGTAGGAGAGTAGCCTCCCATTTAGAGATCATGGTTGGGGTCATTGCAGTGATCACGGGCAACCACAAGAAAAACGAAACGCATGTTGATTTATATAAACTGCAATAAGGAGGTGATCGCAGCTGGCAGACATGGTGAAAGTCATACCATGTGACTCAGATAGCAATTCCCAAAGGGTTCCAGGGTAAAATGCAAGATAATATGAATCTGTGATTAATCATGAATCTGTTTAACTGAAATGGAGGCCGGCCTGCAGGAGTTAAACTGGAATCTCGTACTACAAGCCTAATTTTGTATTTTTCTGATTTTGCACTAGGCCCTGTTAAAGTGATTTTTACTTCTCAGTCGTCCTTGGCAGTTTACTAATGTCTTTCCTTTCTTTCTCTTTGAATTGTATTAGTATTATTACTCAAAGTGGAGTCGGTGAATTACTTGTGACAGAAAGCTAAAACGAAAGCCTAGTTTCTGAACCCTGGAGAAAGGCTCTAGTGGTTTTGGTTGTCCATGCCCCTGGGCCTTGAAGAAGACCCTCACGAAGAGACTTCGTTTGGAGGCCGGAATAGACCCACACTGATTTCAACAAGTGTTTAGCTAAAACAAATTTTCCATCATTGAAAACAAACAACAACCAAGTGGCTCCATACAGTTTACATATAGTTTACATCCATCCATCCATCCATCCATCCATCTATCCATATATGTATCCATCCATTGATCGGTTCTCTATGACCCAGAGTTCTGGATTGCAGTCACAGACTATGGGCTGTGGATTGTGAGAGTAAGTCCATTCCAACACGAAGAGAGCATGCAAACTCCATATACACAATCAGGTGCATCTTTTATACATCACAAACTAACAGCAAAGTTTGGTAAACATGCAATTGTTAGTTCCCCACAAATATGCATTATTATAACAGCTTGATCTTTCCTTTTATTGCGTAAATATTTTAATTAAATCTTTGAAACGGTCATTCTTGCGACTGGAATGTCCTTGAGCAACCAAAACCCTAGCAAATGGGGTGTTGTGCTGTTTGCATAACTGCGATTTGTGAAAATCCCGCCGCTGTCTTTGCAGAGCGCTCTGAAGCCTGCTGTTTACCGCGTGAGAACAATGAGGTCCCTCTATGACATCTCCTCAAAGGCCGCAAGAGCCAACTCCAGATTACCGCCACACAATACGTGGATGAACAAGGCCGCACACCAGAGGGCTGTACCCAGATCAGATCAAAGCGAGGTTTATTTGGAGTTTGGGCCTCTATTTCCACAGCATTATCAATTCATAATTCAGCCCTAATTCTGCAGACAAGATGGTTCCTTCTGTAGTGCGTAAGTACATGGAGAGAATGGCAATGCAGTGTGAGACACTGGGGCGACTGTTAGAGCACTCTTGGAACCATAACCGGGAGGTTTCTAGTTTAAGTCCCAGGAGAAGGCCTACCTTTGTGTAAAATACTTAAGCTGAATGGCATTAATCTTCCATAACTTCTTATCACAGTGGACCTGGAATCGGTCCTGGGAAACACTGGCACTTTACAGTGACTGATTCACATTTCGAACTGCAGGATTAAACCCACAGACATACAGCTGCCACACGCGGGGAGCCGGGGGCAGGAATGAAACCCACAACACTGGATGTGTGTGTCTCCGGTGCTGCCCAACGAGGCACCGTGCCTCAGCGTAACCTGAACTGTGCGTGTGAAACACCCAGCAGTGTAAAAGGCTTTCAAACAGTATGACGCGCGGTTTAAAGCACCGGCTGAGTGATGAAATAGCAATAGATAGGCATTTGGTTATTGATCTGCTTACGGACGGTGGCCGCGTATCTCGTCTCGGGGGAGACTTAGAGGAAAGACGCTGCGTTTTCAGGGATTAGCTGCGCTGGCGGGCGCAGGTCGGCGTTTCCGGCTCACGAGGATGACAGAACACCTCTGCACGCCATCTGGGATCGCTCTGAAACGGCATCCGATTTCCGCACTTTTATTCCTGCTCTGCCCGGCCTGTGCTCTGTGTTCATTCAGAGAGGCTCTGCTCTCGGGTGGCATTAGTGGTGGGGGCGGGGGGCGGGTGGCGGTGGGGGGGGCATTGAGTGTTGCATTTTAGTGCAAGACCAAGGCCGTGTGTTGTGGAACGGAAAGGGGAATTTGGCCATCGGACCCCCCCCACGGGGTAGGCGTCCGCATCACAAACCCCCCCCCCCCCCCCCCCCCCCCCCCCCCCCCCCCCCCCCCC